GNATATGACACATAATAAACCATTTGATTAACAAGGAATGCAATGTCACTTAATTCCGAATTAATATCTGGCAAAACAACATCAGTATCATAGGTTCCTCCAAAATTACAAAAGTTTCATCCTTAGGATCTCCAACAGACATTAAATCATATCGTTTTGTTGATGTGACTGTATAGAAAGGACTTCTCGGTATTGTTCGTTTTATTAATGTAAGTGAGGCTCTACTATTTTTTTGTGCAGCCAATTGTTGTTGTTGAAGTTGCTGCTGTTGTTGCAGGAGTAATTGTTGTTTGATTAATGAACTCATTTTTTTATGTAGTTTGTTTTGGCGGTTCAAAAATTGTAAACCTTTTTATTTCCAATTATCAAAATTGAATTGATCAGAACTGTTAGAATTATTGGAAGTTTCTTTTCTGATTGGAATTATTGATGAAGGTATAATAGAAGAGGAATTGGAAGTACTCTTTAAATTTAAATATTTTCCAACTTTGGATTGAGTGGCGGTGGTGGCAGGATTTTGTTCAATTCCAGACGGATTAGAAAACCAATTACCAAACTTTTCCTTATCTTCATTAGAAACTACTTGTGTTCTTTCTTCCTTATCCTTTTGTCTCTTTTCATCCTCAGTGAATGGATTGTAAAATATAGAGATATTTTCAATTTGTACATCTTCCAATGGTTTATCTTCATCATCTACTGGAATATTTTCAATCTTTTGAAGTAATTTTAATCCACCGACTAATTTTCCAAATACTGTATGCTTATTATCCAAATGAGGAGTTTCCTTGAATGTAATGAAAAATTGGCTAGAATTAGTATTTGGTCCCTTATTAGCCATACTTAGAGTTCCAATTGTGTCATGACGAAGTTTTGGTGAGATTTCATCCTTAAACTCACCTCCCCAAATACTCTTCCCTCCTCTACCTGTTCCAGTTGGATCACCTCCTTGAATCATAAATCCTTTAATGAGTCTATGAAATTTAACTCCATTGTAATATCCTCTTGAACACAAACTCAGGAAATTATCACATGTTTGTGGACAAAGATATGGATAAAGTTCAACATTTAAATCGCCTAGGTTTGTGTGTAATGATACAAATGATTTCTTATTTTTAAACTCTTTCCTTATTCTATCATATTGTTCCAATTTCTGTTTCCAATATTGTTCAGTAATTTTCTCAGTTTCATGACTTTTAGTTCTCACATTCATAACAGAAGAAGTTAATGAAGATGATTTAGTGTCACTACTCAAAACTCCAAAACTTTGTTCTCCACTTCTCAAAGAAGAGCTTGTAAGTGCCACTTCTTCTTCTCCACTTTCAATTTTCTTTTTCTTTCTCTTTTCCATTTCTTCCAAAACTTTTGAAGTTGCACTATTTAAATTAATCTTTTCACTAGCTCTTTCCAAAACAGAATCATCTTCATTCTTTCTTTTTTTATCTCGTTGTTCAATTTCATGTTGTATTGTTTTAATATCTCTTGGATGTAATGGATCTTGTAATGAAATAATATCTTCCTTTGTAAATTCTGTATGATCCAATAAATCATACATAATTTCTCCTTCCTTTAAATTTATTCTTTCAATTGCACTATATGCATAGACATTTCCTGTTTTTGCAATACAAACAATATGTGACTGATCGGTAAATATTTTGCGTGAGACTGGACAGTATGGTTTTCCTTCATCATTGGTTGCAATTTTTAATCTAATAATATCTTTAAAATCCAAAGGATTACCAGTGATTGGATGTATTTTATGTTTTCTAATCCATGGCATTATATTTAATATATCAAACATGTAACCATCTCTTGTTGTAACTGCTTCTCCTTTAATAGGTTGAAGAGAGAAGGCACAATGATTAAAAGCAAGGGAAACTCCTTGTTTTTGTTCTACTTGTGTCTTGTTACGTGATGATAATTCCGATGCTCTGATGAATAAGTGACCATTCTTTTTAGAGTGAGACATTTTTTTTGATATTTAAATCTAATAATACTGTTGTTGGAATGAATAAATTGAAGATGAATCATTGGATAAATTTTCAGCTTATTTACTGATAGAACATGATAATTGAAAATAATATGTAGGGGTAATCATTATTTATTAAAGAAATCATTGAATTCTCTCTCTAGATAATATATAGTACACTCAACTGTTACAAGATCAAAATTATTTCTTGAGCTTTGAACTCACGTTTGGAAGAAGACTGAGAATAACATCAACTGTATTAATTTCAAGTCGTTAATATTATGAATTTTCAAAGATAATATATTACATACCCATTGGTTCGACTTCCTTCTTTGAAACAAGGTCAAATTCAAAGACAAATAAACAGAAATGCTAAAATAAACATGTAAATATATGTGTCACAAACTATTTCACTTACTTTAAAAGCAGTATTCAAGTGAGCTTCTTCACCCAATTTCTTAACTTCTTCAAAGTGAGAGTGATAAATGTGAGCATAAACTCTGAACAATCGTTTAAAGATTTGCTTGACTTCAGATTTAAAGTTTGTTGGGAAAGGAACATCTGGAGAAGGTGGGAACAATTGTTCATTGTTAACCCTGGATTCAATCCAACCCATCAAAAATTCCATATATTGTGGAGCACTGACACGAATTGGCTTGGTAATGTTATCTTCAGGATTCATCCACAAATATTCATATTCTACAAGTTGTGTGTAAACATTCAAAGAAGGAAATAATTATTACATACCAGCACCAGCACACATGACAGGGCATGAAGAAGCAGTACAGAATTCAGAAATACTTCCGTACAATAAATTGGTTGTATTGAAGAAATCAACAGCTAAATAGATCCATATTATGTATCAAATTTCATCATAAACACTTACTATGGACAGCTAGTAAATCGTAAATAACAAAAGATCATAATATTACTAGTACTTACCCAACCATTCGTTCAATTCTTCACCTTGTGGGAGTTTAACTGCTTGGCTCAAATCACCACTTCCAAGAGTAGCTGTGTTAGAATAAATTTTGTTATTTGACACAATTCAATTAATGATCTTACCTTTAGCTGCTTTGTGTAATTCCTTTCTCTTTCCTCCGTGAGATTTCTTTGGACGAAAAGTGTTGCTATTCTTGTTTCCGCTATGATTGTATCAAAGCCAAAAACAAGTCATCAAGAGATTTTGATGATGAATATTTTCAAAATAAGAAAAATAATCCAAGTGGTGAATCAATTAACAAATTTATAATAGAGACGATAATAGTTATTCATCATCATCATCAATAAGAATAAAAAGGCTGATGATTAAAATCAAGAGAATATTATTTCTAAACGTACAAAATTCCTAACAATGGCATTTTTTTGTTGTTTTATTTGATTCCCAAGACATTTCGAGTTGTGAGTGATGGAAGAAGATTTAGTTCCTTATGGATTGATAATGTCATTAATAGAGAGGAAAGTTCGTATCTACTTGTTGTCTCCATGAGTTGATTCCTCCATCAATATTCTTAACATTGGTAAATCCATTTTGAATGAGAAGTTTAGTTGCTGAGACAGATGCTATTCCTCTACGACACATGACATAAATAGGGAAATCATTGATTGAGGATGATTTTTTTGAAATTTCATCCTTAATTGCTTGAATGGTTTCTGGTTTCTCCATCTTTTTAAGTGGGAAATTTACAGCATGTGGAACAGATGCAATATTATATTGAATATTTTCTCTTACATCCAATAGTATGTGATTGCTATTAGAGCTATCTTTCAATATAATTTGTTCAAATTCCTTGGCTGTTATTCTATTTTCTGATTGTAAGGAATCAGATGGAGTTGAGGCAATCTTATCAGTACATACTAATGATTGACCTTCTGGAATTAAACTGGTAATGACTGGATTTTCTCCACAAACCTTACAACCTACTTGTCTTCCTCTAATTTTTGCACATCGGAAAGAGCAAGTCTTGGCATTGAAGAGTAACATTTTTTGTACAAGTAATTCACAATTATTCTTTACAGATTCCTCATCGTCCATTTCCATAAGCAATTTTTGAGCTTCCAAAGCTTGTAAACATCCAATAATTCCAGGAACAATTCCCAAAACACCTCCATCTGAACAGCTCGTTACAGTTGCTGCTGGTGGAGGCTCAGGATAGAGGCATCTATAGCATGGTCCCTTAGTTTCTCCCCTTCTATAGTTATATATTGTCAATTGACCCTCAAATTTAACAGCACTTCCACTCACTAATGGTTTTCCAGCTAATACACAAGCATCATTAACTAAATAACGAGTTGTGACATTATCGCTGCAATCCATAACTACATCATATTGTTTAACTAATTCCAATCCATTCAATTCTGAGAAAGGAGTATTATAACACTCAACTTGGACATTGTGATTCATAAGTTGACACGACATTTTGGCTGAAACAGTTTTGAGTAGTCCAGTACGATGTTCATTGTGAATAACTTGTCTATGTAAATTACTACTGTCAACCACGTCAAAATCAACAAAACCCAATTTACCAACACCTGCAGCAGCAAGATATAAAGCAGCAGGCGAACCCAATCCACCAGCGCCGACAAGTAATATACTTCCCTTACAAAGCTTTGATTGTCTCTTAACACCAATTTCTGGTAATAATAAATGTCTACTGAAACGAGCAATTTGGTCATTTGTCAACTCCTTATTCATTTCATCATAAATATATGGAAGTGTTTTCTTTAATTCATCACCACCACTATTATTTGCATTACTATCAATACTAGTATTATCAACCAATGACACTTGTTGACCATTCGTTTCAATTCCACTCAATTTTTCTTCCAATTTTCTAATATGTTCTCTCAAATGCTCATTCTCCTCAGTGAGTCTTTTAATAATCTCCTCCGATGAAGAAGAGGCAGTGGAACAACATTCAAAGCCTTCTTCTGTTGCTGGTTGCTTGTTCAACATTTTTTTGAGTGCGTTTTAATTAAATTTTAAAAACGAACCAAAACAACCCCAATAAAATAATGCTAAGAAATTGAGGAGGAAAAAATAAGCTATTCAATTTCGTTCTATGTTGAACATAATGTTAGATGGGAAATAGGGAAGTGATATGAATGGTACAATCTTGATGATGATTGTGTTTAAATAGGTGAACAATCTCTGAAAAGTCGCTGATTACAAATTAAACGCTAGACAGTAACTGATGAAGCATTGTACAATATCACTCAATTCTTTTTTTCATTCAATCCCATTCATACTCTTTTGATTCTCACTGTTGTAATTATTTATAATTGAGAATCAAAATTTCCGTTTCATAGATTTGAGGAAGGCAATATCATCAATTAAATAATACTTCCGATAATTCCTCATCCGATCAAGTCAATGAAACCAATGGTGAAACAAATTAAAGAGAAAAAAAATGCAAGTCTTTAAAATTGTTAGACAATGCACGTTGGTGTTTTCCATTTGTCTCTTTTGTGCCATAATGACTGTTGGCTTGGTATTATTAACACCATTATCAATGTTCGGATATGGTAATTTTGTGTTTAAAGTTTATTGCTTGTGGGCAGGAAGAGGATATTGGAGTTTTATTTTCTTATTGGAAAAGCTTGATCAAGTAGAATTGGTTTGGTACGGAGACAAGATTCCAAAATATGAAAATAGTATTTGTATTTCTAATCATGTGGCTGATACTGATTTTATTGTTATTCAAACTTTCGGAATGAGAAAAGGTATGCTTGGTCATACTAAGTTTATGATGAAGGAAATTATCAAGTATGTAATTATTGTTGTTACATAGATTGTTTTAAAGTATTATTATTATAATAATTATCTATTTAATTTTGTAATCAATTCGGATTTTTAACAAATTGACTAATTTATTAATGATGACGATCAATAATTTAAAGATATATTCCTGGAGTTGGATGGGGATGTTATTTATTAAATCACATTATGATGGCTAGAAATTGGACAAAGGATAAGGAATCTATTGAGAGGACTTTCGGAAATATTAAATCAAAGAAGATACCAGTTTGGATTATTTCATTCCTGGAAGGAACAAGATTCACTCCTCAAAAATTGGAAGCTTGTAAAAAGTTCTGTGAGGAAAAGGGAATTAAACCAACTGAACGTGTTTTGACTCCAAGAGTTAAAGGATTCAAGGCAACTGTTTCCAATTTTGCCAATTCACACATTGAATACGTTTATGATTTCACTATTGCCTATGAAGATGGTCCAATCTCTGTCATGCAACTCATGAAAATGCCATTTACTGGTAGAAAGATCCACGTACACGTAAAGAGAATTCCAATTAAGGATGTTCCATATGAAAGTGATGAAAAAATTGAAAAATGGGTCTATGATCGTTTCTATGAAAAGGATAGATTGTTGAAACAATTTGCAGAAACCAAATCATTTGGTCCAATTGTTGAAGAACCATACAATTATGAAGATTTCATTACTGAACCAATGAAGAGAATGTCCAAATTGTAAAATGATTGTAAAAAATAAATATTATTTAACCTTGAACTCTCTATAATATTTGAAACACATTAAACTGTCCGTCTCGTAATACTTTTTAACTTCAGTAACACCTCTCGAATTATCTTTATACCATTCCTCCACTTTTTCCTCAACTTCTGAAGAGGTTGAATCATTATCGAAGGGAGTAGAGAGCCCTTCTCTTTCCAATTGTTTTTGTTTCTTTCTGATTTTTTTCTTTGATTTGGTTGCACACCACTCTTCAAACTTTTCATTTTGGTGTTTTTGTTTGGCGTTATGTTTAGATTCATGTTTAGCTTCTTCCAATTCCTTTAAATCTTGAGTTCTATTTGATAATTTAATTTGTAATTCAATTTGAGTATCTGTCATTGTATGTGTTTTCCAATATTTTTGATCTCTTGCTGGAAATTGAGTTTCCAAGTCGAGTTTATTTTCTTTTCCTGTTTGTCCAAAAATTCCACGAACTTTCTTTCTGTGGGCCTTTCGGGAGTAGGTTCTAGCTTCTGTCGTGGCAAATTCATCACTCAAGCATTCCATTGCCCCATTTTTATTTTTGCTTCTTGCCATTTTTTTTAAAGATCTAGTGTGTGAAATTGAAGAATCACAAAAGATTGAAATCAATGAAATTTTTCTTAATCGGATTGTCATGCTTAAGGTTTTAAATGGATAATGGACTTGGAAGTGCCGAATAATCAAATTACTAGCGAGGATGCATTTTGAAAGATTTGACATCCATCCGTATTTATCTGTCAAATACATTCGATTAAAAATCATTGTTTTGAAATGCCCTCACTAGTTAGACCATATCGATTTTGATAGAAATCCTATGCTCAGCAGTGATTCGTTTAAGATTATTTGAAAAGGGCTACAAATATTCTGAATAAATATAACTATTTCCATGTTGAAAAGTAATAAGGTAGTGACATGGTAACTTTTTCCATAACATAATATTCATCTACTCCTATACGTGTTGATTGAAAATAGATAAGAGGATCTAACAGTTTCAAAAATAAATGCTTATAAATAGACTCTTTTGAATCGATTTTTCTCTCAGTTTCCTTCTCAATTTCATTCCACAATTCTTCCTTTCTCTGGAAAATATCCTCAACTATTCCAGTTAAGAATTCAGTATTAATATTTTTCATTTTGAATACATCTTCATTGTAATTCCATTCAAATATATTAGTACCATTAACAGTAGTAGAAAGTGAACTCTCCACATAATTTCCACTTCTCACTGAAATATTAAATAATTTGGAATTAACATGTATTGGATAACCACAATCCATATAAATAGTATAATCAATATTCAAAGTATGTGAACTTGAATTAAAATAACATGAATTATTATAATCCAATCGATGTACTTGAACATCTACCTTCTCCAATTCCAACAATTTTTTCACATGTTGAGACTTGATAATTAGTCCAGTATCATCCTCAAATTTCTTTACACAAAAATCCTTTGCCAACAAGACAGAAAATTGTTTTTTAAGATTAATATCTTTCTTGGTGTAATTAGTAATCCAACCAAATCCAGACATTGATCCTCCTTGAATATTGTTGTCCATATAATAACTATCCAATAAACAATCTCTCAATAATTTACAAAATGGTTTTGATTCAATCTTTCTCTTCTTGGTAGGTTCCTTTTCTTCTTTAGTTTTGTAGCAAATTGAATGTTGGGAAATCTTTTCCTTCAAATCAATTAATTGTGATGAGGAAAGTGATTTGTAATTTGCATAATAACTTTCAGCAAATCTCTCACAAGTCATTACTTGATGAAATGTTCTACTAATAACAAATGGAAAGCAACATTTCCAATCTCGATGATTGAGAAAGAGTAAAACTTCATGTACAATATCTGCTTGATCAAAGACTGACATTTTTTATTAGGTAATTCATTAAATTTTGAAAGTGATAAGATTATTTTCTTTACAATTTAGAGTTTCAAAGAAACATCATCAAGCCTAATTATTCATCAACCCAATATTAATTCCGCCATAACATTCTGTTGCTTCTTCCCTCCTTGCAGCAAGTCCATTCAATCAAATAAAATTTAATTTTCAAATTGAAAAAATAAAAAATGTTCCGTCTTGTTGCTAAGCCATCCATCAAGTCTGCTGCTACTCTCTTCGCTAGACCAAGCTTCAATAGATATTACTCTGTTAATGCTGCTGCTCAAGGTTCTTTCCTCTCAAAGGATGAAGTCACTGAACGTATTATTAATGTCTTGAAGAAGCACGAAAAGGTCGACCCAACCAAGGTTGCCCCATCCTCTCACTTTGTTAATGATTTGGCTTTGGATTCATTGGACTCAACAGAAGTTGTTATGGAAGTTGAAAATGAATTTGGAATTGAAATCCCTGATGAAGAAGCTTTCAAGTTGCAAAGCGTTGAAGATTGCATTAAATACATTTCATCCAATCCAATGGCCAAATAAATAATTAAAAACAAATAGTAATATATTCAAAAGAACAAGATGTAAGGTGTAATACTATTATTATTGGGAAACAAGTCATCAGAGGACATTTAAACAATAATTTGGAAAATAAAAATCATCAAGCTTGATTTGGTTCATCCTATCCGATTTTACTAGTAATACTGTAATTATTATGTTTGAAACTGTTTAGTCAATACGTTGATGGTAAATTATCAACTATTATTAAACATTAGAATATCTTCAACACTTATAATTTAAATTATTTAAATAATAGATGAAAAAATGTCTTTGAATAATTGGAAGCTTTTAGAACAAAGACCAGTAGTTAAAACCAAATGGGTGAGCGTTTATGAGGAAAAATTGGATACTGGCAATGGAATAATTGATCCATTCTTTGCCATCCATTATCAGAATTGGTGTCTGGTCATTGCCATCACACCCTCTAAAAAAGTTTTAATTAATCAACAATATAGAAGAGGATGTGATAGAGTAATAAAGGAATTTCCAACAGGAGCCCGAGAGGAAGGAGAAGATCCTAAACCAACAGCACTCAGAGAATTATTGGAAGAGGTGAGTTTCGGAATGTAATTGTCAATCTTATATGAAAATAATAATTCGGAATTAGACTGGATATGAATTATTGAACAATGATGAAAATGCTGATGTCTTTGAATTATATTCAACACTTCACGAAGATGCCAATAGAAATCCATGTATTTGTAATGCTTACTTGATGATGGTGAAGGAAGAACCAACTCACAAACAATCATTGGATCAACATGAACAAATTCTCGTATCCAAAGAAAGCCTTGAACAAGTAAGAAAGTGGTGTTTTGATGGAACCATGCAGAGTGGACTTCATATTGCCATGTTTTTCAGAGGAGTCAAATTACTTCACAAATTGGGTCACATTGATGGAGCTGCCTTATTATTCAATGATGATGACCAAGAATAATTGTAGATAAATGTAAATGCCTTAAAGTAGTACCAAGCTGATCATTATATATAATAGTATTAATAATAATAATAGAGAAATTGAACTCGTGAGGTGCCTAATGACAAATGATCAGCAGTTTAGTAGTTAACCGTTTCCAAATCTTAAACTTTTATTAATATGGCGCCAAAATAATTACGTTATTCTTTCAAAGAAAATGTCTCAACGTTTTCCAGTCTATAAACCGCTTGGAGGATCATCACAAAAGAACCTAAGCAATGCTAGTTTTAACTCTGAGAGGAGACCTTCATCAGCTACTTTGCAAAGACCTACATTAAGGAAATCAAACTCACACAACATGGATGATTCAATAGCAATGATCAGAGGAGGTGGTACGCAATCAAATGTTCCATCTTTTCATTCATCAACAAATAGACCATCTTCTGCATACGGAAGATATAAGGATGTAGATAATACAACAAATGTACATAATAATAATAATAGAATAGGAGACTATAATCCAACAACTTCCAAAAGGCCTCAATCATCATACTCTCGAACAACTCCCACTTTTAATAGTAATAATCATAACAACAATTATCAGCAACGAAGTAATTCTAGTAATGAGTATGTTCCAAAGAATTATCTTAAGAAAAATAGCAGGCAAGATATGTTGGGTTCATTCCCAACCGAGGAGGATATGAAGAAATCAATTACAGGAAGAAAAAATTCTGTAAAAAGGATCCAGAAATACCAGGAGGAATATCTCCCTCCTCATACATGTAATGTGTTTTATCAGCAAGGAAGACATGCTGTTAAGAATACACAATGCAAAAGATGCTCAATGGCATTCAGACAGCAGCAACCAAAAAAACCAACACCTAAACCAAAGAAACCTCAACTAATTGAAAGACCTCCAAGCCCAGAAGGAATATTTATGGTTAAGGAAAATGTGAATAATGCTCCAATGTACATAGATCCAGCACAAAATCTCAGTGAAACGAAACAATTACTCAAGGATAATATCAAACAATTACTTTATCATTATAGAGACGAGAAAGATAAGCTTTATAATCTTTCAAAAGGTGTACAGACAGGTTATCTCGATGAGCCTTACATTGATTATTCAGTATCTGTAAAACCAAATCGAGTGAGATCTCAAAAGGAATTTAATGACTATGTCTCTAGAGGAAAGAGAATTGAACTCTTTGATGATGACGAATACCTTAGACTAATGAAAGAATATGGAGTTGATTGCGAGCCAAACTGTTTTCAAATAGAGGGAAGACAATGTTAATTCATTTTCAATACCTCACAATAATACATTAATTTATTTTTAATTCACATTGATAAACTGAATGAAGAATATTCATGTTGTTGTAGTATACGACCAACAATTTTTGGTATCGCCCTGGGCTTTAAACGTTGTACAATTTATTTAAACACTTGACTTTCCAATTTCAGTTTTTCATTTTCCGCTATACATTTTAGTTCTGACATTCAAGAAAAAAAATGCCATTACCCAACATCCTTCCTACACCAAATACATCGAGAAAACAGTCTGTACACAATAATAACAACCAAGCACAACAACCATCATCCAAGAATGTCAATAACACTAATAATACAACCAGTACAACTCCATCCCATATAACCAACACCAACACCACAACCACCACTGCTACTGCTACTGCTACCACTCAACTAACCAATCAACAAACAACAAACATGTCAAAATCACCACCTAATGATTCAAGCCTTCATCCTTCATCAGCAACAACGTCACAAAAGAGAGGAAAAGTTTTGGGAATGATATCAATGTTTGAAAATTTGAATCCTGACAAGACAAGTAAACCAACAACAACAACAAGTGAGAAAATAGCACTTTCGAATGCTCTTCAAGATGAAGAAAAGAAGAAGAGATTTAGAGCTAGAAGTAATTCATTTGATTTAAATTCTCCATCGACAGCATCGGTAGTAACAACCAATTCCACAAATATTACCAACACTGCTAATATTTCTTCTCAAGTTTCGAATAATCAAAAAACTAATCCACCACCTAATATTTTCCATAATATTTCAAAGAATATCTATAATAATATTAATACACAATTAAATACTAATAACACTAATAATACCAATGTGAATAATAATACTACTCATCACAATACAGCAGTTAATAATATTAAAGAAAATGAAGAAGAAGAAAAGAGCCGATTGACTAGAACACCATCAATGGTTCAAGGATTAAAAGCTAGATTTGAAAAGTTACAATTTAGTGTATTAGAACAACTTAAAAAAGAAGAGGAATGGATGCAAAAGAAAAAAGAACGTCAATTAACTGCCAGAAGTCATGGTGATAATCATCAAAGTTCACATAGAAGTGATACTTCATCATGTGAATCCGAAACTAATCATAGAAATTCTGTAGAATTAAGTTCTCACAATCAAAAACACAATGATTCCATGCTAATGTATGATCATGATATTATTTCAACCGATGATGAATATTCAGAGGAGGATGAACAAGAAATTCATCAAATGATGGAAACAGAGAATGACTATCATCAACATCATTCAATGGATGAAAACAAGAGAAGATCACAAGAGGAAAGAATTCATCAACATGTTTTTGATACTCTCATGATTTCACCTCCTCCACAAATTGTTGCAGGAATGGCAGCTCAAAGTAGACAATCATTGTTTTATCATGAACTGTATGGTGAAACAGCTAGTTCTTCAACACCTTCTCCAATGGATGTTACAGATCCTTCAAGTACTTCTTCAATGAATAATGATGATTGGCTTGAATCTCAAATGAATAGACATCAAAGATATAACATTTCAGATTTGGATTTATTGACAGCTTATAGACATAAATCTCAATTATATCAAATGCAAAATCCAGCAAATGTAATGATGAATCCATTCATTCAAGATTCTCAAGTTGTTTTAGGTAGTGATGCTGAAGAGGAGGATTACGCAGAAGATGGTGGTGAATATCTTTCATCTGACAATGATCAAACAGATATTGACCCAGAACATAGAAGATCAAGTGTAGATATGATTGGTGGAGTTTTGGATCGACAAAGTGAAGAAGAATTCACAAGTTGGGAAAAACAAATGGAAGAATTTGGAAAAGCTCTCGTCATTTGAGGAGATCAACAACCACTTGATGAATCAGCCTCGAGTCAACATATTTTCCAATTTATTCAACAACAATCACCAATAATTTTGTAAAGAACATAACACAATTTTGTAAAATAAAGTTTAATCCTATCCAATCTAATGGATACTTGAAATTTTGAACTATTTACAATTCAGATTACGATTTGTTATGGATTAAAGTTTTTCTGTTGACTTTCCTTCTTAACAACAGAAAAGATAATCTATTGACTCATCATTTGCCATAGACAGAAAATATGTGAAGTCACAACTTTGAAGTTAATATTTCACTTTTCTTAATCTTTTATTGTTCAACCACAAGTTTCTCTTTCTAAATTGATCAAATTCAAAGGTGATAAATAGATGGTCATGTTGCTATCTTTTCTAAACAATAACTTACTGAACCAACAATCAATAGATTAGTTGCCTTCACTGTTCATACAGTCAAAGACTGTAGCGGGATTGTCGCCATATTCCTGGCAGGCTTCCCGTCTAAATTATTAAATGAAAACAAATAATTAAATTATTTATTAAAATAATACTAATTCATTTTCACAACATATGACTGTGCAGATTAAGAAGGAGCAAAAAGCCAAATATGGAGTGAGTCTGTTTATGATTATTATTTTGATATAGTGAATGGCTACGGCCATATCACGATGAATGCACCTCATCCCGTCCGATTTGAGAAGTTAAGCATCGTCGAGCCACATCAGTACTGAGGTTGGAGACAACTTGGGAACCTGTGGTGCTGTAGTCTTTTTGATTTTGCGCCACTTTTTTTACAAACTTACGTTAGACAGTAGGACATTTCTTCAACTGATTCATGATTCTTTGTCTATGAGGATGAACAACATGCTCAATTATTACAAAACATGAACCAAGTTTGTGTCCAGAAACAAAAATCAGTTCATGATAGAATTTCTTTTGCAACTTTCTAAAAATATACATCTCCATCAAATAAGAATAAAAAACAAAGCAGCTGAAATCAAGAAAAACAATTCAACAAGTAAAAAAAACAACCAACATAATGCAATTATTTGTCAAGACACTCACTGGAAAAACAATCACTTTGGAAGTTGAATCAAATGATTCAATTGAAAATGTCAAGTCAAAGATTCAAGAAAAGGAAGGAATTTCACCAGATCAACAAAGACTCATCTTTGGTGGAAAACAATTGGAAGATGGAAGAACTATTAATGATTACAACATTCAAAAAGATTCAACTCTTCATTTGGTGTTGAGATTAAGAGGAGGAATGCAACTCTTTGTAAAAACCTTAACTGGAAAAACAATTACTATTGAAATGGAAGCGAATGATACTATTGAGAATATGAAACAAAAGATATTTGATAAGGAAGGCATTCCTTCAGATCAACAACGATTGATTTATGCAGGAAAACAATTAGAAGATGGAAGAACAATTAGTGATTACAACCTTCAAAAGGATTCTACTGTGCATTTGGTGTTGAGATTGAGAGGAGGTGGTTAAATAAACATTGTATCATAAATTCTCCCAATTCTCAAATCGGGAGAAGATTCAAGAATTAGTCACTGGTTGACCGGTGCGAATGAAATTTGGCCTTTGAACTTCGGATACTCGAAAAATCAGATATCTTATTGATATTGTAATCTTCAAAATTTTTGTTAAAAAAAATGACACAACAGCCACCTCACATTCCACCAGAAATTCTTTCTCTCATAAAAAGTTATTTTTGTCATGGACGTGAATGGGAATTTTTAATGACAAGTTTTAGATTTGTTTGCAATGATTGGTATCAAGTTTATTGTCATGATAAGGTGAATCGTATTCGCATAGAATTAACTTCAAATTCTATCACTACATTGGGGAGATCTAATATTGAAAAATTATGTATGGAGGGCAATAGTTGTTTATTAGGAGTTGATAAAATACAATTTTGCAATGTTGGTACACAAGAATTGCAAGCTATATTGAATTGTAATAATTTTACGAATTTAGAGCATTTATTTATTTCTGGGCATTTTGATGTAAAAGTTTTTGAAGAAATTGTAACGAGCGAACCTAATTTATTTATTTATAATTTAAAATATTTCTATATATATCATTTGACACCTAACATAGAGGAAATGGTTAGAGTTTTTCAAAAATGTGTTTCAATATCTAATCATCCTTCCTTTTATTATTTAATATTTATATTAAATACTAATATTATATATTTAAAAAGAGCTGTCGAATTAAATTATTTACCAGCCATTACGAGAATGAAAGAATTAACAACGAATGAAAATGAAAAAGTGGAATTGATGATTAAAGGAGCTCAATTGGGTGATTATACTATGCAATTTGATTTGGCTAATTATTATAAAACTAGTGAACAACATTCGGAGGCAATACAATGGTTTTTGAAAGCACTAGCTCACAATAACAAAAAAGAAAATCTCACTATTTATAATTATTTAGGAAACTGTTATTTGGAAGGATCTGGTCTTGAAAAAGATATTAAAAAGGCCCAATATTGGTTTGAAAAAAGTGCACTGAAAGGAAATGCATATGGTCAATTCGGTGTTGCATCCTGTCATGATGAAAATCATTCTTATACCAAAGCATTTGAATGGTATAAAAAAGCAGCAGACCATGGGGACTCTAATGCTTTATTCAATGTTGCTTATTGTTATGAATGGGGTGAGGGTGTTGAAAAGGATCTCTCCAAATCATTTGAATGGTTCCTAAAGTCTGCTGAAAAAGGAGATGCTGAAGCTCAGTATCGTATTGGTATGCGTTATACAATGGGAAAAGGAGTTGAAAGAGATTTATATAAGGCATTCAATTGGTATTATAAATCCTCCAAAAACGGATATATAAATTCCATGTTTCAACTTGGATATATGTATGCTAGTGGTAAAGGAACATCGTTTGATGGAGCTAAATCATTGAAATGGCTAAGTAGGGCAAGTGAAGGTTACGAACATGCTAAAACAGTTATTGGATTTTTAAATCATTTTGGATTGAATTCAATGAGCAAGGAACTCAATTATGCTGATCAAATGAATATTTCAGAATCAATTAAGAAGAATACAATTGAATCTCTTCGCAAGTGTGGTGCTTGTGATAATATTTGCAAGGGATTTTTCAAATCAACTTTAGATGGCGGATTATCTTTTAATGTTTGTAATGATTGTTTAAAATGTATGGATTTGGAACAGATCAAGGAAAAATTTAAATCTGAAATTGGAGACAGAATACTGTATCACACTCATTACCTTGCAAATTTCCTTCCTCTCATCATTTATTGTAGAGATGAGAATAAGGTTGTTAATTCAAACCTGGAGAGTTTTATTACACAACTGGAAGATTGTGCCAAAGAATAATATTAGGATATTAAGCAAATTACACCAATCATTAGATTAACCCAAATATAAAATATTACATTTTTTAATTGCTTCAACCTTAATGAACTTGTCGCAAATAATTGACAAGTTCAGGTTCATGTGAAATAATGACCGAAGAATTCAAGAAGTTTTCAATCTCTGGAAAAATCACCTCAGAAAACAACCATTGACTCTAATCTCAAAATTTTCAAATAGGAACACGAAACTACGTGCACGTCCCAACACACATCTTAATCAGAACCGAATTCCTAAATAAACCATTTAGAACTTTCGAAGAAACAAGCGAACATTGAATGACCTTAATAGACAAGTTCTACAGTGCGTTCCTGACTGTTCTATAAAGCGAATAACAACTGGCAATAAATTCAATTTTTCACACATCTTTTAGAAATTAAATTCACAACTATGTCTTCCTCAACAAATCAATCAAGCTACTCCACTACCGAGTGTATTTCAGAATCGGCAATTACCTTTGAATGCAACTATTTATTTGACTCATGTGATGAGGAATGTCAATATGGTCCATCATTATCACATCATCAGAATTCAATACCGAATGTTGCTTCAATTCTATCATTGGATGATTTGACCAATCTTTCAATTCAACATACTTCAAGAAACAGCTATGAAGATTTGTCAATTCTCAGTGATTCCGAAGGTGATGATGAAGATTGGATGAATCTCTTGTTTCATGATGGTTTGAGAATGCTTAATCACAATTCAAGGGAATGGATTATTGAACAGGTTAATTTTGATCATGATTGTAAGATTGTTAATGGAAAGAGGGATCTACCTCTTGAAAAGACTAATATTTCAATGAATATTAAGAATTTGGGTGAATTTATTGATATGAAGGAATGTGATCAATTTGGAACCTTGAATAAGTCAACATGTAAATTTGTCAAATCATCTGGTAATTATCACTATTATAGACCATCTCAATCATTAAGGAAAGCAAACTTAGAAAGACGTTGCTTGACTTGTTTTCATCGGAAAACTTTGGAATTACCTCCATGATGATTTCTCCTCCTTTGATGTTAGCTCACTGGTATGCTGTTTACCAAAAGAAAAGCATTGAACTGAACAGTGCCAAATATTTGGAGTCTGAATGGATCTTCAATAATAGAGAACAATGTTTGGAATCAGTTGAATTGTTGCAAAGATATCCCAAGTCAATTCAAAAGAACTTGAAGAGATATTCACAGGAAGAATTGGATCTTGTTTTCCCTAAAAAGATTGTTTGGAGAAGAATTTCATTCAGTACTATTCAGAAACATGGATTTAACCTGCAAAGAGTTGAATCAAAAAGTGCTTCAGGCTCTCCTACCTATTCTATCAAGTGTGGATCTGAAACACTGCTTGAATTCATATCCTCATTAGAGTTTTGTTCCAATATTGTCAAGTTACTGACTCTTGTGTCTGTATCGGTCTTTTCTAGAACAATGGATCTTCCAGTTGACAATCTATGTGATCAATTGAAATTGACTTTGAGATGATAAAATATTTGCCCTCATCACCAGATGGACAAGCAGTTCTTTATTTCAACTAAATAAAACCACATGTCAATGAGAATGTTTTTATTTTATCCCCATGTATCCTAAAATGACATTCTGAAACCCAATGTTCAAATTTAGTGGACAACTTCTAATAGTGATAATTAGGTTCAGATTTGGTTGGATTTTAGGTAGTTGATTCTTAATAAATGCAAGTTTACTAAGGTTTCCATTTATGGAAGGGTATTTTTCGCCAAACTGATATTTTAACATGTGAAATCGGGTGTGGTATGTGGTAGCATTCCAGATTGTCACTCTGGCGACCCGGGTTCAATTCCCGGCACTCGAGATTAATTTTTGACTTGATTCTTTATTTTTAACAAACAATGACTTTATAACTTCAAGACATATATCTGATCTACCTACTTCTCAATTTTTGTGAAATAAAGAATTGAAACCATCGAGAAAATAAGTTCAACTCTATTCGTTAATTTTATTGCTAAAAAATTAGTTGAGTTAGATATTCAATGTACAAACTTGTATAAATCAAGATCTGTTTTGCCATTTAGAAGATTCAATTCCCATTTCTACAGCATATTTCATGAAACGAAGAACATGATTTTTCTGGATGAGGGACAGAATTCCACTTTCATCATCAATGAATTTCTTTCTATTTTCATCACTACGATTAATAATTGGAAAGACAACGCCATTCTTAAATGTTTGGGTAATTAACTGTTCAATATTTGTAAACTCTGGACTTGTTGCAAGGTTGGCAAATAAGTGCCCATTTTCTGCCACAGTTGTGAATTTGGAGTCCTTCCACAATAAGGCAACACCATCAAATGCCAAATAACGATCTGACAAGTTGTCAAATTTGGTCAACACAAACATGTAATTAATCTTGTGATCTTCAACGCACATCTTAGTATACTTGGCAAACAATGGCTTCAATTCTTCAAGTGTCTTGATGTGAGTCACGTCAATTGTAAAAATTACCAATTGAATTCGAAATTCCTCTTCGTATTGATTTGGAACAGTATTACATCCTTCAAATGGACCACTATTTGGTGGAATTAATCCTCTCAACAAGTGTTGGAAATAATTCTTTGCAGGTTCCCTTTCTACAACTCCTTTTTGTTTAGTTTCGTAAAATCCTGGCACATTCCACAAACGAATCTCAGCTCCATTTCTTATAGGAATAACACCAACTTCAGAAGATTTTGTAACAGAGTGATCAGAATCAGTAGCTTCAAAGAAACGTCCCGATTGAAATGTAATATTATCACATCCCAAAGCTTGTGCAATATTATTAAGGAGTCCGCTCTTTCCATCTCCTAAAGCTCCGAAACAAACAACATTTAAGGATTTGGTTTTCTTGCTTTCAAAGTGAATGGCCATCTTGTGGTGGATTTCTTCAAATAAGGTGATGGTAAGATCTGGATCTTTGAGGTTGAAACGTGGAATTTTGTGTTTCATTTCGAATCTGCCAGTCCAATTAGTTTTGGTGTTTTTGTTATTGGAAACTGTGACCCAGGCATCAAGAGAAAGATTGACATTCTGATCAGAAATTAAAACAAGTTGTGGTTTTTTGGTTGGATTCAATGTCAACAATGTTGTTTTTCCAGTTTCGTAATTGTAAACCGAAATGTTTTTGATTTCTTTTTCGAGACCTTTCAATTGAAAATGGTGCAAGTCGAGGAAGTTTGGAGTTTCTCCCGCTTCGTTTGGAATTGGAGAACTTGAGTTACCCATAGTTTTGTTTTTTTATTATTGTTTAACTAAGCTGAATGTTTCGAATATTAATTATTAGCAGGAAGATGTACAATTCACGTTTCAAAATCACGTTTTGAAAAGATCTAAAATGAAACATGACAGATACGAAACGTGATCAGAACCTAATCCATTATAAAATTATTGAATCCAAATTCATTACAATAATCCAATCTTGAAAAAAAATGGGAAACTTGTCTTCCAACAATATTGAATTCTATTCACCAGAAGAACACTATAAAAAAATTACCAAAGAAATTCCGAATAATGCTTTCCATCTATTAGAACGATATTTATCTCAAAAAGATAAACCAATTCGTCTCCATAGAATTTTCGATTATCCTAGCGATTCTACAACTTTCACTATTCGATACTTTACTTACTTGTCAAGAGCTCAAGAATCAACAGTTTCAGAAACTATTGAACCAGGATTGAAATATATTTACTTTTATCTTCATGGATCTGACATGTCAGGTATTCTTGCCAAATTGCCAAATAATGTTTGTGCCATTTCGTTTAATGCAGATGGAATTAAGGATATTCATAATGAAGATTTATTATCTTTTAAGAGTGAATCAAGTACGTTGGTTATCTGTCTATTGAAATATGTATTGATTCTTTTATTTTCTTTACTTTTGGTAGTGTTGTCAATGTTTTATTTGCCAAATCAAGGCAATAAAAAACCACAACAAATTGGAAGCAAATATATTGAGATAACAAGTCAAAACTATAGTAATGGGAAAGGCACAATTCAATTGACTTTTGATATGAAATACTGTCGTACTGTTGAACAACAACTTCTAAAACTTGGAGTTACACTGAACATTCCTCCAGAAGATAGTATAAGATATTCAGACAAAAAGCTTGTGAGTCAGGATCAAGACAAGATAACAAGCACAAACATTGTTTCTCCAACATTAAATGAAAAAATTGAAGAAAGTCATGATACTGAGTTAGTTCAAGCTAAACAGGATGAAAGTCAAGCTCCAATAGAATCTACTTATGATATTCAGAACAGTAGACAAGAAAATCCTAACTCACAAGATTCAGCTATTTCCAACACCAATATGCAACAAGAATTGAGTGGTGTAGCGTTTGAAAATGAAAATATTGATAAGATAGAATAAATTATTTTTTGCTTGTTATTATAATTTTACATAATCTTGCCAAGAGTGCTGTAAGTTGAAGAGGTGTATCAACACCATCACTTATCCTTAAATGACAATCACCAATCTCTTTGATAAATTGTAATTGAGCATATTCAGGCATTTGGACAGCTCCACTTCTAACAACTTTGGAAAGAGTAGAAATTACATCTTGAGAACTGTATCCCTCACCCATTAATTTAGTAAGCTCTTTTTGAGAACTCATTAAATCACCTTGAATACATGATCCAATAATTGTTTGAATAGCAACTGGATGAGGTTGATCACAAACTTTGAAAACATTAGTGGCATTTACAATTCCAAAACCTTGATAGGTAGCTTGTAAACTATTAATTGCATTTCTCATGTCACCGTCTGAAGTATAGAGAATTGATTCCAAACCATCCTCTGTTTTTTGGACATGTTCTAATTCACAAATAACAATTAATCTGGTCAAGAGTTCAGCATCTGTCAGCCTCTTATATCTGACGAGAGCACATCTTGATTGAATTGGTTCAATAATTTTAGAGCTATCATTGCAAGCAAGAGCAAATCTAGTTGTTGAAGAATAAATTTCCATAATACGTCTCATAGCTTGTTGAGCAGCTGATGTCATTGAATCAGCTTCATCCAAAATAACTATTTTGTGTCTATTTGGTGGAAGATTAACTTTCTTTTGAGCAAATTGTTTAATTTTGTTTCTCACAACATCAAGTGTTCTTTCATCAGAAGCGTTCAATTCTAAAACAGCTTCTTTATATACTTCCTTTCCCAATAATGATCTAGCTAAACACATTATACTCGTTGTTTTACCAGTACCTATTATAAATCAATGGTGTGATCATCACAACTCCTATTTAATAAATTAAAATTAAAAACCTACCTGGTGGTCCAGACAAAATCAGATTCGGCATATTACCTTCCTCAGCAATAACTCTAAGTCTCATGACAGCCTCTTCGTTTCCGACAATATCATCCATATCAATGGGACGATATCTTTCAACCCAAGGTCTGTCCATTTCTGTTGGCACACCTGAAGAAGAAGAATTTGATGCAATCATTTTTTTTGAATTTAAAAAAGTGGAATATTTTTGGCGGCAAGTTTAAAAAAAATAAGATGCTTGCTTCCAACTTGATGAAAAGCCTGACGAAGGAGAAGGGCAATCTTTCCGATCATTCATCATCACACAAAGGACAGCATCATCAGCAAGATAGTCATCATGTTGATCATGATGGACCACTTCAATTTAAATTTCAAAATACAACAAATAATTGGGATGAATCTCCGAGTCTAAATAATAGTCTTCCTTCATCACCAATAATTAGATCTCCTGTAAAACCAAAAAGAAGTAGAGCAAATCAACAACATGACAATAATCAGCATTCGAGTAGTAGTGGCAATTTATTGGATAATTCACCTTTTCAAAATTTATCAGTTGTTCAAAACTTTTCATTTCCTGATTTCTTACATAGACAATCCATATTTTGGACAATATTAGTATTAACTTTAGGATATTTATTGGGTAGATGGGAGTTGTCATTATCTTGGTTTTTAGTTTTTACTATTGTAGTTTATTCACTTTCTTCTAGAATTGCTAGAGATTCTTCAAGAACAATTAACGATTTATTGCGAGTTAAAAAATTAAAAGAGTGGAAGCAGTGGAGAGAGAATCATCTTCCAAAGTATCTCACTTCGAATAATAGTGGGAAATTATTTACAAACACAACTGGAGACCAAACTGAAAACACAAAAAGAGATGCAACTCTTGCATGTGTAAATATTATAATGGATCAATTGTGGAGAGGATTCAATTCTGAATTTATTGTAAAAATGGCGAATGATTGGCTTAAAGAAAATCCAATAGCTTCCAACTTTGATATTCAAGTTTCATTTCTTGATATAGATAACGATAATCCCCCTTTCTTTACAATGATACACTGCTCAGAAAACACACCGAAGAAAACTGTAATTGATGGCTGTTTGGAATACCATGGAGAGTTATTACTCCAATGGTTTGTAAAATTGTTGATTCCTATCCAATTTTTATTGAAAGATGTTTCTGCCAAGGTTAAATCTAGAATTAGCATCGAATATTCTGACAATTTGGAGGAATTTGGAAGAACTATATCCAAGGTTGATTTTTGTTTTATGGAGTATCCTGAATTTAATGTATCAGTTCAAATGTTCAATTCTTTAGATTTAACTGGATCCATTCCATCTCTTCAAAATCAATTGAAGCTAGGGTTTGAAAAAGCTCTTTTGAACTTTGTCTATCCAAAATTTATTACCGTCTATCAATTTGGTGAAGGAAACTCTCCAGGATTAAATTTGGAAATTGATAAGATTGTTGTGGAAGGATTGGAGGATGAGATAAAGAGTAATTTATTTAACATTAATCAATTACTCAAAGCAATTAACAAATCATCAGGAGAAAGTAAGGAAAGTATCAAAACTGAAGTTTGTAACAATATTCTAACTCTCCTTTTCCAAGCAAGAGAACCAGGTAAAATTCCAATAGGAATGACAGAAACCATTAGAAATGGATTTCAAATTCTCAACATGTTGGCTTTTGAAGAAACTGAAAATGGTGAAGCCAATGAAAAGATTATGGAATTATTGTTAAAGACTGAAAACTTGATATTCATTGCTGATGTTGTTAGGAAATGTACTCTTGCCGATGAACTCGTAATGAACATATTATTCAAAGTTAAGAATACTTCACTTAAAAACCAAATCAATAAGAGGTTCCAAGAATTGGAATTGGCAGATATTCTTTTCCTAGTAGTTGGCAGAAATGATAGACCAAAATCCAACAATTAACATGTTAATTCACACAATATTAATTTTAAACATGGCGTGTATGGTACACTTCCAACTGTAATAACAATACTCGCTTATACGGTTTTTACTGCCCATAACGATTCCTCAACTTGACCGCGTTACCCATCACACATTGTTACAATATGTTTTTTGTGTTGGTTTTTTTTGCATCGTCTTTTGATTGGCCAGTTTGGGGCACGTCCATTTCACAAGGTGGTCACAAAAAACAAGCACGCAAAAAATAAAAACTGCTACATCATCTCTTACCGCGCTCTTCTCTGAGATTCAACAAATAAGAAACCTCTGTTGACGTCAACTTTTTGTGATAACAATTTTATTGTATAAAGGTTTGTCGGCCCTCGAGAAGAAATTTTGAATCGGAAGACATTGTAAATAATATCTACTATCAACATTAAATTATCATCATCATCAGCATATCACTGCTGCAATAAGAGTGATATCATAATCCTAGATTTCTACAGCAAGAGCATTTAGAACAATAACAACAATAATAATAATGGAGCAACAACCTCAAATGCCACCATCAGCAAATGGCATCAATCAGCAAGTCAAACCACACCCTTCTCAAACACAACATATATCCCCAAGTGTCAATGGAGGTGTGATGGATGGTTTACCACCGGGATCAGGTCAAGCTTTTGTTCAACCAGCACACCCTCACGTCCATTATCATCATGTTGATCCAAATATGCAAAGAAAACAAGTGATCCCTCCACAAGTAATAACCCAAACAGGAACACAAATGCCATCTTACTATTATCCACAACAACCATATTATGCTGTACCTGGACAACCATATGGTATGTCACCACAATCATTTCCATATGCACCTTATGGTTATCAATATCCATATGGTGCACAAACAGCATATCCACCATATCCACACCAAGGACACCAACCTCATACAGTTCCTCCTATCCCTAATCAACCTCAAGTTACACAAGTTGTTGCTAAACCTGCAACACCATCAACCACTCCTAAACAGAAAAAAAAGAAATCTAAACCTGTTAACCAATCTAATGCTATTTTCCCTAGTCAATCTAAATCGATATGTCCAACTGATTCATTCAATGTTGGAAGAAAGAATGAAATTCTCTATTTGGTGGAGGGGTTTACAATGGATAGAGTTTTACAAAATATTAATGTGCATATCCAATCAGGAAATGAGGTCACTATATCAGAAAAGCAAGTTTTGAAAATAGATATTTCATCCCTGGAAGGAAAGGCCCTCAAAATTCAAATTTATATTTGTCAGCTCAATGTGGACAAAATTCAAGACACAACAATACCATTACATTTATTTATGGAATATCCAGTCAATAGTGAAGAATTAGAATTCCAAGATTTATCGTTTACTTACCAACCAAATCTCTCCAACGCAAGATCTCTCTATTTTTTGAGATTTGTCCTTTTGGAAACTGTGGATAAGGTTGATAAGGTTGTAAATTTCTGTGACAGCTGTAATTTTATGATAGTATCTCCAAGTAACAAGAAGAAGAAGAGTACTTCTTCACAACCAACACCTACAATTCAGCACAATACTACTATACCGCCTGCTACTTCGACAACACCAACACTTCCTTCTCTCCCTCAAAATAATGTTTCATCCTTAACAAAACCCCCATCTAAGGGAGGTGAGGCCCCAACTGTAGAATTCTTGAAGCGATTAATTTCCACAGCGCCTAAAAAAGAACATTTGAGCCATTGGAATAATTTCATGGTTACTCTTGATCAATTGAATGTGTATGATGGAAACTTTTTAAAGAAAGCTGAGGACATTTCTGACAGCATCAAGAGGGGAGGAAGATTCTCTGTATATCCTTGCATTGAGCAATGCTGCCCTTCTTTTGGACCAATCAGAGGAGGAATACAAGTTAGCATTAACGTGAAAGATTTAGATGTTTATGATGAAGATGATTTATCAATTTTTATTGATGATATCAAGATTTCAAAGAAGGATATCACTTCTATACGACCAACTAAAATAGAATTTTATTTACCTGCACTGAAAGGATCACGTATTCCAGGCCAAGTAGATGTTTCTATTTCTGTAGATAATGGATTTGAATGCTATTCTCATGTATTGTACAATTCTTTTGAATACGTCCTTGATGAGGAATTTGAAAAGAGGAAGGGTACTATTCCTATGAAGGAAAGATCAGCTACTGGTCTTGTACAAGTTGTTACTATCAAGCCAATCAATGGTACAGCAGAAACTAATGAAGAAGAATACGGAGATATCAACGAAAAAATGGATATCTATAATGGAGAATCTTGTCAATACAGTTCATGTATCCACTTTGAACGTGGATATTTGGATAGCTCAAAGTTAGATCCAAAACAAAGGTTCATGTGGGTTCTTCGCAGAGCTGATTCTGAGAGTCTCTATGGTTCTCAAGTTGCTAATGAAGATCACGCAGGTGTAATATTGAGAGGTGAAGCGATACTTAACAAGACAAAGATGGCAGACATTTTGGAAATGTGTTTTGAAATTGATAGAAGAATATCAAGTGAAAAGCTTGGAGTTGCAATGAGTTTGCAACTTTTTGATAGAGAGACAAAGAAATACCTGTATACATCTAAGGCACTTCACATTCTTACCAGACCACCAAAGCCAGTCCAATACAGCAGTTTCAATGAAGACGAACGTGTTCTTCAACTTTTAGATAAGATCAAAACAAGAAAGAGAAGACGTGGCAGAAATGCTATTGCCTTTGATCCTAACTTGAACTCCCTAGGCCAGCCAATGACACATGCACTCTGCCTTTCAGATAATGAAGTTGAAATTCAAAAATCATTCCAACAATTCCATTTGGAAGTGAATGACCAATTTTCCAGAAGTCCTTTCCACTTGGCTTTTGCTGCAGGAAATTTGAATGCTGTAAAATTCTTTATGGAAAAGATTGCAGTCTCTCCTCACATTTATTTATTCCAGAGAGATTGTTATAATCAAACACCTTTCCATCTTGCGTTCAAGTTTTACAGGACTAAATTCCTGGTTGAGTGTTGCGCATTCCTTAAAGAAAAACTTGATAAGTCAACAAATAGGAATGAAAATTCTCAAAATGTTGATATCTCTCCAACTGTCCAACAGAAACAAGATAAAAAGAGAAAAACACCTTCATCATCCAATGAAACAACCAAACGAACCAAAGTTGAAGTCATCAGTTCCTCTGACGATGAGGAAGAAACCAGTCTCCACCTGCAAGATGATGAATAAATCTTTAATTGTTTTTTGAATAAACTAGTATTGATTCACATAAACATATTATTGTAGTAAAGAGTTCAAATATTTAGTGGAAAAAAATTGCGCCAACTCTCATTTTCGTTCCCAAAAAAATTGATTTCTTTTTGCTTGCGTTTTGTTGAAGAGGAAAAGAATTTTTCTTCGGAGATGATCAATCAACCAAACGCTATTGAAAATTTAATGGTAATTCGAAAGGATGATGATGACGCCAGTCTCCTGTACAATAACAATAAGGAAAATAATTTATTTCATTCATCAAAGAATAGAGAAATATTACCCACTACGAGTACGAGTACTTTTAATTCAACAACAAATTCAATAATTGTGAAGCGAAGTGATGAAGCGTGCAATGTTGTGAGTAAGAACGGAGAGGAAAGAATTCCACTCTCTGAATTAAATGTAAATACACTGAAGAGATTAAATAGTACTATCGAGTCTTCAAGTCAATTGCCTTTGGAAAAGAAGAAGAAATGTCAGCATGTTAAAGATGATATAGATTCTACAAGAAGAAAGGCCGAATCGATATGTGGTACTTCCTCTTCTTCAATAGAGATTACTAAATTATCGGAATTTAGTTTCCTATTGGAAAGAGAGAAAAAGCAAAATAATGTTTATTATTTCAACTCGAATGACAATACCCAAAACTCAATTCTCACAACCATGTACGAGAGTATCGTTCATAGCATGTGTGAATTTCACCAAAATTGTAAATACATACATTTGAGATATTGTACAGAACAAAACTCTGATATTTGTAGATATTGTTACACAAACGAACATGTTTTTAGTATGGTATGTAGTAGTTTTAATTGTTTTGAAATTAATTTCGAATTGTAGAGCTATATGTTTGCGAGAAGACTTTGTTTTAGTTGTAGCTCATCCTCGAAAATTGCCCAGACTGTAACCAAAGTTAAGGGCGAGAATCAAACAAAACAATTTTTTAAATTAATGGCCTCCTCCTTATATAGAATTGCACTCAAAGTAGCAGATCTATGTTTTCCTCTTCCAACTCAAAATACCTTTTCGAAATACATCTCAAAAGAAAGTTATGCTGCAACAGCACTTCCAAATATGGAACTACAAATTCTTAATTTATTTAATTATGATCATTTACTTGCAACAACTCCTGTGAGTTTTTTGTCTGTATTGATGAATGGTTCAATGTGTTGCGATGATGCATTGACAAATATGTTATTCAGAATGAAAATAGAGGAAAGAGTTATTGAGCTCTTTACAAAGTTTGAATTTCTTACAAAACTGGAAGCATTTAATATCCCACCTTCAAAATTATGTTGTGGCGCATTGTCTCTCGCAAGAAAGGAGCTCGACTTACCTTCTTGGTCGGAACCCTTACAACAATTAACGACCTATCAATTGAGTGATTTTGAAGATGTCATTTCCTTCTTTTCCAAATATTCAAACACCTCCAATAATTAAAACAAATCATTCTAATATTTTACAATTGAATTTATTTAGAAAAGAATGTAACGCAACAAAATTAAGAAAATCAAGATACCAAGAATGATAAGTGGTATCTTGTACTTTTTCCATAAAGTTAATTTGGCCAGTTCTGTTGCACCAGTTTTGAACTTTTTAGCTCCATCCAGTATTTCATTACTCATATTACTCATTTGATTTAATTCTTCTCCTCTTCCAATAACATCCGAAAGATTCTTCTTAATAATTTGGTGTACATCATTTAATTCATCTTTAAGAGTTTGAATATTTCTCTTTGTACGAGAATCAGTATAGATTCTTCTTGTTTTTTGAATAAAGGTATCAAATTTCATAAAGGCATATGGTCTTTCCACTTTGTGCACTTCAGAACTATAAAGTTGTTCAAATTCCTTCTTTAATTCTTCCAAGAAATTGTAAGCCATTTGTGAACTGTACGATTTTTCACAAAGAGTCATATATATTACACCCATACTTGTTAAACTATGGAAAACCATTGAACCACTATCAATACTAATCTTTTCATTTGAATTTGATCCAAAAAGTGATAACTGTTCCATAATTTTTTTACGTTGATTCTTGTATTGTTCAAAAGCATCAGGTTGATTCTTCTTATTTGCATTATTAGCACCACTTGGATTTACTTTTACATTAATTTCATCATCACCTTCCTTTTCATCAATAGATTCAGCCAACGGAAGTGAATCAGAAATACGAGCAATATAGGTAAGCTTGAGCATCTCTAGAGTTTCGGATTTGTATTAAACAGAAAAAAAGTCCTCCGTATAATGATGAGGTATTTTTTTTAATAGATTTTGTGATGACGTCGTTTGTTTTTTCTACCGCTCATCATCTTCGTCATCACCCGATATTTAATTTTAATTCGTAGGATGATGATGAAAAGGAGTTCAACGTATGCGGTGAGTCATCACATGATTTCAACAGAGTTCATTTATCTGTATATTTCAAAGAAGATTGGGAGAGTTAAAGTAAATGAGGATTTTGTTGAAGTTTTTCGAATAGAATGTCTGCAATTCGATCATAACCATCTGGAGTGAAATGAATTGGATCATCCCAATATTTGGATTGTTCCTCTTCTGTGCATTTACAAAAATTCAATTCTTCCATTAAATCAATGAACAATAGTTTCGGATTTTTAGATTTTTCAACAAATTCTCTAAGGGCATTGTTGATTTTTGATTTCTTATTGAGATATTCAGATTTTACATCAAATGCACTTGATGGAATGGAGCAAGCTACCACGAATCTGAAATGATTATATTGTAAACATCTTTCATACATTTCAATCAAGTTTCCAATAGTATCATCCGATTCACAAGATATTAAATCATTTGTTCCTGCAATGATAATGACACCGTCAAAGGATTCAGGTGGATAATAATTGAATATTTGATCAAGACGAATTTTCATCCTATCAGTCCTTTCACCACTCAATCCGAAAGGTTCAACATGATATGGAATATTCTTTAAATTTGAAAGTAATTTAGAAAGTCTAGTTGAGTATGGATGAAATTTGAGACCATTACAGTAGAAACCTGCAGTGATTGAAGCTCCAAGTGCCATGATATTGATGGGTTCCATTTCTTGCATTTTTATTTAAATTGTGTTAGAATCATTACAAAGTTTTATCCAGTTCCAAAACATTTGATTTTTATCAATTCCACATCAAGATTTTAACTTTATTGCTGGTTTGGGTTATTGTTATGAATTTAATAATGGTATGTCTACATTCGCATTCGTTAGGAGTTGCATTATATTAAATATTTAATAAATTATTTAAAAACCCATGACAAACCCACCTTCTGGTTAATCTTTGGACTTTTTATATTCAAAAGGAATAATCCAATCCTGTATATCATAATCACCTTGCTTCCAAATTCCTCTTTTAACAAAAGTAAATCCACATTCTTCATCCTCAATATCATATAGAACTTTCTGCTTTCCATCTTTTTTCAAATCGGGAACCACAAAGTAATAATAAGGTTGCTCATTGATAACGTAAGACACGCCACAATTACAAAAGTAAAGCTTATGCTGTCTATTATTGACATAAATTTTTCTTTCTGCAAATACATGCTTGTCAACTTGAGTGACAGCATGCTTTGGACAGTCGATTGGTCTCACAATTTCAAAGTATTCCTCAAAGTAAACATCCGTATCTTCCTCATCCTCCTCTTCTTCTTCCAGCAATACTTTCGGTAACATTATTCTATCCAGTCTTTCCCCTAAGAAAAACAATCTGTTTTCTTCATCAGTCAATTTGCATTCCAAGATTCTTGTCATGATTCCTTTAAGTTGTGTGAACATATTTTGAAATGATTTCTTAATGCCATTTAACTCTTGAGGAGAGAGATTAACATCATCAGAACGAGCGTCCTTTTTCGATAATTTCATAACCTTTACCTTAGTATTCACCAATTTTGAAAGACATCTCTTGTAATCGTATTGGGCCAGAATTTTCTTGACCATATATTTTGGAACAATATCATATTCAATAATGTCTCTAATCAATATGTGAGCACATGTATGAGGTGAATGAATCAATTCGTGATGATATTTATCCAGAACAGCAAAGGTACGGGAGTTTTAGTGGACAGGTTAGCAGCATTCTTATTCTTCATGTATAACACCGATTCACGAGAAGATGATAGTAGTTTGTATTTTTTAAAATATGCCAGGTTTTGAGATAATGGTGGGCTTAGAATTTAACGAAAATGGTTTGCCTGTTGTTTGCCTTCTTGATGTGTTTTGAAGCACTACAATTTCCTTTTTGCTTAATTTTATCTCAAAACGCGGCATTAATAAGCTTGTTCAAATGAACTTGTCGGGCTATAAAGGATAATAAATACTATGAGATGTGTTTACTGTGTGAGGTGAGGTTAATTCTATTTACATGACTATAATTGTGCGTGCCTAGGATGATGAAGTTTTAATTCTTAGTTTTCTTTTTTGATGAGGATTGTTGGTCTTTAGTGGATGGCTTTTTCCTCTTTTTTGGATCGTTCTCTCCTTGTACTGCTTGTTGTTGGGAGGAACTTTGTTGAGGTGGAATTGAGGATTGTTGCTGCGGAGGGACTGTAGGTTGATGCTGGTGTGAATGATGATGTGTTCGTTGGTGTGTATTGTTTGGATTATTTGGAGGAATTGGTTGCTGAGCATTAATGGGAGCCTGATTTTGAACTGGACGATCTGCATGAATGGTTTGATCAGGATAATTGTATTGTCTTTTTTCAAAACAGCTATTCCAATAATTATTTTTCATTTTCTTTTTAAAATATACTTACTAGGAATAATTCTTATTCTGTTCAAAGAGTCGATGTTTAAGGGCTTCAGATGCTGTTATTCTTTTTGATGGATCATAACACAATAGTTGTTTCAATAAATCCATCTCTGGTGAGTCAGGTGGTAGCTCTGTATGATTTTCCAAATTTGGTGTATATTTTGGTATAGTTCCAATCATTTGATAAAAATCCAAATCCTTAATTGTTGGCCAGTCTGCCTCTGTTGGAGTTCCAAGAACTGAAAATATTTTCTCCAATTGATCTCTTTGAAATTGTTCCTTATTGTTCTCTCTGCCTTCAAATATTGGTTTGGTAGTAATGAGCTCATTAAAAATACATCCCAAACTCCAAATATCCACAGCTGGAGTGTAATGCTTAGCTCCAAGTAATAATTCAGGAGCTCTAATACATAGAATATTAATATTAATATCGAGTATCACATGAACACATACCTATACCAAATGGTGACAACAGGTCCATCATCTGCCAATTTCCTGAGTGGATCTTTAAATACACGAGCCAATCCAAAGTCAGCAATTTTTATAACACCTCTGTCATTACCTTCATCATGTATCAATATGTTTGCAGGTTTCTTTTCAAAATAAGTGTAAACTTCATTAATATAACTTACCAAATCTCTGTGTATCACCTAATTGAGATTAATAGAATATTCCACATTCTAACTTACCCATGCTTTGTGTAAATAATCCAATCCACATAGCATTTGATACAATATTGACCTCACAACTCCTTTATCCAATTTAGGGTGTAGTCGTTTGTTATTCATATCCGTAATTTGTTTCTTATGATAATGCAATAATTTCTCCAAATCCAATTTACAATAAGGTGTTACCATGTAGAACAACCCATCAGATTTATCCAAAACAATATCTTTAACTTTTAGAATGTTGGGATGATCCAATTCCTTCAATAACTATAAAATTTAATCCAAATTGCCAACAACTGTTTTAACACTTACATTGATTTCTCTACAGATCGAGAAGGGAATACCTTCACTCTCTCTTGCCAATTTTAATTTGAATGATTTGATGGCCACTCTGTGACTTGTTGGAATTTCTTTTATATTTGATTAGTAACGAGATCCGATCGGAAATACCTACCTCTGGCCAATTTTACAATCTAACCCCATCATTAATATATTAAACATTTAACTGATTTTACGTACACCATCTGTTAGCAAAAATTATTACAACAATAACATCGGAACACTCTACTTACAAGCTCCTTCACCGATTCTATATCACAATAAAATTATCAATTTAATTATCAAAACACATACTTTCCAACCAACTCATAACGTTGATCCAATGTTTTATACTTTTTAAATGTTTTGTCTTTCAACCGACTTGTCATTTTTTTTTGATTAAATGTAACGGAAATTTTGTTGTTTTGACAAAATTGGTTTTTAATATTTGACAACAACCTTTTGTTGGTTGGCTGGGTTGATTGAATCCTTTTGCTGTTTCATTTGTTCGGATTTGAAAGTTGTCTTTAAGGTCTTCTTCATTTCTCTCTTTTGTTGTTTTAATTCTTTCATCTTTTGCTTTCTTTCCTTCTTTTCTTCTTTGGTTTCTCCCTTCTTTCTTGCTTCACCAAGGTTTTGAACTTCTTCAAAATCATCTTCATCAATTTCTTCTTCATTAAGGTCAACCTGTTGTTTACCAACAACGCCAATTGGCATACCTGACTTTTCTGAGAGAACAATCTTTTTCTTTCTTCCAGGTCTGTCATCAATAATTGAAGGATGGTTATAAATGTTCGAATAGCTTGTTAAAATAGTTTCACAATCCCATCTATTATCTTTTTCAGGTATCGTTATTACTTCAGTTTCACCCTTTGATTCGTCCTTTTCTTGTCTATCGAGTTGTCTAAGAGCCATCTTTAATCGTTCTTCCTTTGGCAATTCATTCAATTTTTCTAAATCTTCTCTACGATAAACCTTCATATCTGATGGGAGATTAGCTTCAATTTCTCTTAATTCTTCATCTGTTATTTCATTACTTCTCTTGAATTCACCAGCTCCAAACTTTCTTCTTTGTTCTGTAAAGAAATCTTCCAATAAATCATTCATCTTCTTTGGATCGTATTCAGTTCCTTCCCTAAGTTTTTGATTATCATCGTCGAGTTCACCAATTTGATCGTCAGAATAAGCATTCTTATAGAATGATTCAAAATCTTGATCGAATTGTTTTCTATTTTCTGATACAGTATATGCATGATCTTCTTTGTCATCCTCTTCTTCTTCGTCACCTTCCTCATCTACATCTTCCCAATCTCCACCATCTTCGCCATCATCATCTTCCCAGTCTTCATCATCGTCATCTCCTTCTTCATCCACAAAAGTAACCTTCTTTTGTGAAGTTGTTTTTGATGATTTTGTTGTGGCAGGTGTAGCTTTCGATTTTGTTGTTGGTGCTGATGGTTTTGTGGCAACAGCAGTTTTACCTCCCTTCTTCTTTTTAGCTTCCTCTTCCTCAATTAATAATAATTCCTCACGTGGTAAGAACTTCTTTAATAAATCCAATGGAAGTTCTGCATCGTTATCAAATTGATAAACTTTAGCTCCATCCACATCCTCATACATATCATCATCTTCTTCGGCTTGTTCCTTCAAATCTTGAACAAGTTCTCCAAAGAAATCATCATAATCATCACCATACTTTTCCAAAGGATCATCCTTTTTACCTTCTGTTTCATCCTCTTCTGGTTTATCTTCTTCTTCCAACAATGTTTCAATTTCTCTATCAAGTTTACCAGAACCATACTTATCTAAACCGTAGGCTTTAAAATCGGTTTTCAATTTAAATGGTTCATCCATAGCTTTCTTCTTTTGTTCCTCTTCTTCTTCAAGATCAATTTCTTCAGCATCTGCACCTTTACGAGAAATAAGTTCTTCCAATGTTGGTTTTTGTTTTTCTGATGATTTTGTTGTTGTTGTTTGAGATGTTACTACAGGTTTAGTTGGCTTCTTAACTGGTTCTTCCTCTTCCCCATCATCATCTTCATAATCCTCATCATCATCAACATCTTCATAGTCTCCGTCATCGTCTTCATCAGAAAAAACAGGTTCTTCTGCTTGACTTTCAGAATAAAGAAGTGTGGATGGTTGTAACGAATTTTGGCCAAAAGCACTCATATAAGTACCACCACCAATATTTCGGATATGTTTTGAATAATCGTAGCCATCATCAGGGAAGAGAAAACCAACAGTTTTACGTTGCTTTTCCTTTTTCATGTCTTCGGTTTCTTCATCACCAATTTCATCTTCATCTTCGTCGTCATAGTCACCATCTTCATCATCTTCGTCATCTTCATCATTCATATCAATCATTTGTTGAAGACCGTACATAACTTTTGGTTCCTCTTCATCTTCTTCCTCCTCTTCAATAGCATCTCCAAGTGTTTGTTTAATTTGTTCATATGTTTCCTTTGCTTTTTCACTTTGTTCTTCCAAGTTAGTTGGTACCCAGACTGTGGTTTTACCATCGTTACCTCCTTGGAACAATCTGAAGGTGATACTATTCTTCTTGTCGATCTTTTTAGACTTTGGTGGCATTTTTTTGAAGTTCAATTTTTAAATGTAAAATTAACTCACATAAGAGAATTGACTATTGCATTTCTCAATTATTAAACAAAAAGAAAATGTTTAAAGTATTATTATTAATAAACAAATAAATAAGAGATTGGTTTTTTTACTTTTCTTCTGTCATGACAGTTTCATCTTGCTTGGAATCTTCAGAGGATGATTGTTGGTTCTTTTCCTTATTGAGATTTGGTCGTCTGAATCTTGATGATTTAGATTGATTGGCTGATTCCTCTTCCCTATCATTCGATTCCTCTTCATCAGTTTTAACTTTCTTATTTGGCCTTTCAATATCTGTACTCGATGGTGTAACAGCTTGATTATCTTCGGAATTTTCGTTTTCATCATTCTTAAATTCGTCAATTGAACGTTTTCCTGTGAATTTTTCATCTTCTTGAGAACTTGATTGAGCAGGAGTAGTATTTACATTAGAAGTGGTAGCAGTAGGATTTACAGTTGTTGATTCAGAGGTAGAAGGTGAGGCTGAGGATGAAGCAACAGGTGGAGTTACAACAGGTTTGATTTGAAGTAAGAGTTGTGCACGAAGACTTTCCTTCACCTTTTCAGCAGCACTCTTCTTTTCTTCATCCTTTTTACGAAGCTCTTCCTTCTTTCGTTCCTCTTCTTTCTTACGAGCCTCTTCTTCTCTCTTTCGTTCTTCCTCCTTCTTTCGTTCTTCTTCCCTTCTTGTGGCTTCCTCCTTCTTTCGTTCTTCCTCCTTTTTACGCTCCTCTTCTTTCTTTCTTTCTTCTTCCTTCTTTCGTTCTTCTTCTTTCTTTCTTTCTTCCTCTTTCTTTTTTTCTTCTTCATCATCTTGTTTTATGGATTCTTCCTTAGGTGGTTCATCTCTAGTGCTTGGAGAAACACTTTGCTCACCAACAGATTCAGTATTCTTAAGTTTTTCTTCCAATGCCGATTTTTCATTCTTTAATGTTTCAATCTTGGCCTTTTGATTACGAAGAATATCCATCATCTTGTCTTTCTTTTCCAATAATTGAGTCTTTTCCTTTTCTAGCTCTGAATGTTCGGATGACAATTTTGAAAATTTAGACTCTGACTCAGAGTTCTTAGTTTCCAAAGAATTAATCTTTGTCTTGAAAGTGGAAATTTGAATGTTGAGATTTTGAATATCAATCTTAAGCTGTTTAACCTTTTGAACTTCTGTATTGTACAACTCTTCCTTTTCTTTGACAGATTCTTCAAGAGATGACTTTTCTTTCACCAATCTATCATGAACCTCTGGGTCAATTTGCTTGAATTTTTCAACCAAGTGTTGAGCCTTATTTTGATACTTGATAACATCTTCTCTAAGAGTAGATATTTCCTCTTCCCTCATTTCCTTTTCCTTCCTAAGTTCAATGATAGTTTGATTCATTGGAGCCATTTGCTTTCTAACATCAGTGAGATCTTCTCTTGTTTGATTCAACATTCTGTTGAGTTGATCATTTTGCTGTCTTAATGAAATATTACTTTCCTTAAAGACTTGGACTTGCTCTTGAAGATCGGCAATTTGTTGTCCAGTACGATCTTGCTCTTTGGTATGATTTTGGGCCTTTTCTCTTTCAGTTGATAGCTCTGCTTGGGCATTTGCAAGTTCCTTATAGGCATGCTCTAACTTTTGTTTAGTATTTTTGAGCTCTTGTTCTGAAATAGCGAGTTTAGATCTTAACATTTCCTTCTCCCTTCTTATGAAAGAAATTGTTTCTTGGAGGCCTAGTACTTCTTGTGCATTCTCGTGAGAAACATTGTCAGATGAAGATGGAATTGTATTATCTTGCACCTTCTTGAGTTGAATATTTAAAGTTTCAACTCTAGAGAAGGAAATTTCCAATTGTCTTTCTAAGTCCTTAACTCTTTGCTCAATTTCGTCTTTTTGTTTGATCAAATCTTCGTTTTGAGTTGTGAGAAGTCCAACTTTTCTCTCTGTTTCAGTTTCTTGATTTTTAACTGTGTGGTTAGCAGTTTCGAGTGATGCTTGAAGATTTTTAATCTCCTCTTTCTTCTCTTTCAATACTTCGACAGTGGCAGCATGTCTCATGAGTTCTTGTTCATAATTTTCTTGGGAATCTTTCCAGAGTTGAGTGTGTCTTCTCAAATCTTCTTTCAAAACTTCGATTCTCTTTTCATAAGTTTCAGCATTAGTCTTATTTTCGTGACCAGTATTTTCGAGAAGTTGCTTTTCCTTCTTATTTTGTTCAATAGATTCATTAAGATCGTGCTTCAACTTTTCAATATCATCTTCTCTTTGTTTGAGAGTATGTCTAAGTGAGTCGATTTCTTGCTTGAGATTGGAAATTTCTGATATAAGAGTTTGAGCCTTGGATTCAGTTGAATGCTTGAATTTGTCATAAGTTTCTGTCATCTCCTTCAGAGATTGTTCGTTGCTTTCAGCAAGTTCCTTCATTGTTTGAACTTTGGATTTTTCGTTTTCAAGAGAATCCTTGAGATACTCGTTTTCGTTTTGAAGCTTTGTGAATTGTAATTGAAGCTCAGAAATATCTGTAGAGGCAGTTTCAACGGTAGATAAACCTATCATCTTCTTTTCCAAAATCTTGTTTAATCTATCTTCAGCTGCATTCAACTTTTGTTGAAGATTAGTACACTTTTCCATTTCGAATTCATAATTAGTTCTCAATCTAGTGACTTCATCCTTCAGCTTTTGTAATTCAGAAATCTTCTTTTCTAACTTTTCATTGCTTTCTTGCTCTTGCAATTCAAGTTGAACTCTGAGTTCTTTAGAAAGTACTCTTTCATCATCAAGAGTATGTTTAAGTTGGCTAATTTCTGATTTAGCTGATTCAAGCTCTTGTTGAGTTCTCTTTCTATCATTGTCGTCCTTTTGCTCAAGACCTACTTGGATCTTTTGTAAACTAGAATAGAATTCATCGCTTCTTTGCAGTTGTACTTTCAATCCTTCAATTTCAGAATTCAATCTCTCGGTTCTTTGCTCGTGATATAATTTTTCAGATCTAAGTTGGATAATTTCTCTTTCCAAGTTTCTTATTTGATCATCCTTTGCTTCATACAAAACTCTTTGCTTATCCATACTATTTTGAAGTGAAGAAATTGTTTTTGTCAGAGAATCATTAATATCTCTAACTCTATTCAACTCTTTCATACTATAATCCCTTTCCATAGAAGTGCTTTGATTACTTTCCTTTAAAAATTCAACTTCAGAAGTTAAACGAGCAACACTAGAGTGGAGAGTTGTGATCTTATCATTCTTGAAAGCAATTTCATCTTGGAGAGCCTTCTTCTCTCTAGCAACTTCTTGTTGAAGCTCTCTAAAGTCTTTCAAGTTCATGAATTCTCTGTTTACATCTTGTGAAGCATTGGAAGATTTTTGGACAGGTTCTGGAGTTGAAGAGGATGTTGCACTCTTTTCTTCCAACAGTGATTTAAGAATATCTCTTTGTTTGATAAGAGCTTGAGTTTTTTCTTCTTGGCGTTTGCTTTCTCGTTTTAATTCCTCAACCTGTTTGAGAGCTTCAAGAATCTTTTCTTGGAAGTCTGCTGCCAATAGTTCTTGGGCATTCTTGGCTTCTTCTTCTTTTCTTGTGGCAAGATCTCTTATTGTGCCAAGGAGTTCTACATTTCTCTTTTGCAATTCATCAATATTATCAAAAGGTACTAATCTTTGAGTAATTACAGCATTAGCATCCATGTGAGAAGCAGATTCAACACTATAGTGATTTTCTCTCAATAAAGTTCTTACTTGTACAGATAAATCTTCAGTAACTTTTTGAGCAGTAGTGAGAGACTTTTTAAGTTTATCCCTTTCGTTTCTAATGTCTATTAATTCGTCCTTCATAGATTGACATGTTTGAATGAGTTCTTGCTTTTGTTTTGTTAAAATAGTATATGAAGATCTAAGTTGTTCGTATTCCTCTCTCTGAGCTTGCATTATTGGAGCCTTTTCTTCTAAATCCTTTAATATTCCAGAAAGCACTTCATTTAATCTCTTGTTTTCATTTCTGGACTTTAGTAATTCATCACTAGTTTTTACAAACTTGGTGTAAATATCACTAGGGCTAATACCTTGGTTAACTAGGGTTGATGCACGAAGTTGGGCATTTTGCTCCAAGTCGCGATTATGCTTGTTAATTTGTTCTTCCAATTGACGGATTTTATCCTTTGATTGTCTTAGTTCTTGAGATATTTCTTCTCTTTCAGTTTCAAAGGTTTGATCCATTCTTTGTTTAGAATCCTTAAGTGTGGAAAGTTGTTTTTCAAGCTCTTTGATTTTATCTTCCAAATCCTCATGTCTATTTTTGTATAAATCGGATAACCTCTTTTCATTAGAAAGTTCCTCTTTTAACCTATCAATTTCTTCAAGGTGATTATTCTTACACTCTCTAATCTCGGTTATCTTTTGTTGGTACTTTTGTTGATATTCCTTGTTTGATTGTTCCAAAGAATTCAATTTCTCAGTTAAACTAGTTATAGTTTCACTGTCTTTTGTTGCTTGTATTTGGAGGTCATTCAATTGAAGGATGTAATCCGATTTAAGCTTTGTATTTTGTTCTTGTTTTGATGAAAGCTCCGAGTTAAACCATTGATTTTGCTTTTCTAATGATTCCTTCTCTTGTTGTAGCTTCTCAATAGTAAACTTGAGAGGTAACAAAGATGAAGAAGTTTCTTGAAGCTTTTCCTCTAGTTCCTTTTTAGATTTAAAATGTTCAGTAATTTTTTGGTTAAGTGACTCGATATGTGCTGTATAGAATATACCAATCAATTAACTATTTAACATACAATTTAGATCATCAACTTCTTTAGTTTTCTTTTCTAATAGTGATGTTAATCTAGATTTTTCAATCTTTAGATCTTCATTCTGGGTATTAGCTTGGTCCAACTCCATCCTTTGCTCGTGCCACCTCTTTTCCGCATCTTTAATTTGTTTTGTAAGATGGTCCAATTGTTCCTGGTAACTTTTGTTTTCGCTCTTGAAATGTTCAATCCTTTCCTTGAGAAGCTGACTATCTTCAAGTTTAGAATTTTCTTGTTGCTCAAATTTGTTCATCAGAGACTCGTTGGCGAGTCTGATTGTTTTAATTTCCTCTCTACATTCCAAAAGTTCATCGTCCTTTTTAGAAATATATTCTTGGGCCTTTTTAATAATTTCAAGAGGATTATTGCCGATTTGCTCTAGCTCCTCAGCTGTGAGAAAAGAAAGTTTGGATACTTCATCAGCAAGCGAGCGATCAACTATCGACATTTTTTTAATGTGTTGTAAGATGATGAAGAATATTCTCATACAAGCATGGTACAAGTAATACAATCACATTGGATTGCCTATTATCATCAAATTGATTCTATCATTTTCATTATTGAAGACGAAGGAAGTATTCATAACTGCCAGGAGGTCAAAGTTTTGCAACAACAACAACAAGACGAAACAGTCATGCTGATGTTAAAAATAACAAGACAAACAAAAACAATCCGATTTTATTTAAAAAAATTTAGAAATAATTTTTCAATTTTTAATCAAATTTGGCTTTTCCGATATCATATTCCTTTCTCGTCCTCAATAAATTCAAGTCTTACCAGCAAGGAAAACTAGATTTTTCTTAAAAATCCAACCAAGAACCCAACTTTACTCAACAGTCATACTCGTTTGTTCATTTCAAGTTTATAATCTCTCCTGCAATTTGGTAGCAAAAACTCATTTTTGAAAAAAGCAGTTTACGCTCAAGCAAAACAACTATCATCAAGATTTAGCTTGAAAGCGTTCAAACAGCAAGCAAAACAATCATCTTCACCAAACAAACGGAAGAACCAGATTCCGCAACGCACCAAGTAGTAGATTATCAACCATTCTATTTGGACTGTATTATAGTAGTAATAATAGTAGTAGTGGTGATTAATCATTGTTTTTCAAGTCTGTCTTGCTTTTTGAAATAATTTAAAGAGAATATTGTTAGCAGAAGGAATTTAAATATTGGGGAATCTGTATATACAAGATAATTGTACAATTAATTGATGAATCATCATTAGCCTTTGTAAATCTTCCAAACAATTTGTTTGTAAATTAATAATTATTAATCAATCATCATGAAATCACAAAAAACCATTAGTATTCCCACTCCAACTCCAAAACGATCATCAAGAAATACCTCATCCGATGATGACGATGATGATGATTCGGATTCATTGACTTTTAGTAGAAATCGTAATTATGGACCAACATCATCCTCACTCAACTCTTCCCTTTTCAAAAACACCTTACTCAATAATAGAGAAGCCTATCAAAAACACAAATTACCTTCCCTTACCACCACAACAGCTCCCTCTCTTCCCAAAACACAACAAAAAACCACCAGATCTGCCTCAATAACAACCAACAATAGAAAACCATCTCCTTCCCTTCTTCAACCTCCTATTTCTTCGAGTTTGCTCACTCCAAACTTTCTAAGCAATACCAATAATTTAAAAGACAGCGAGAAGTTATTACTTGATTTTGTTCAAGTATATGAAAAACAACAATCTCTCAAAAGTGCAAGTAGTGCCTCTAATTCATCAGATAAATTGAGTGATGATGAAGATCCTTATTTAATTCTTTCTTCATCATTCAATCAAGGTGGATGGGAACACAGCTATTCAAAATTAGAAGAAGAAATATTAGAAAGTCCAACAATTACTGATCCAGGAAATTATAGTCAGAGCTTTCATTCAATTTCTGAAATTTCTAAAAACAAGCAAAATAAGAGAAATTGGTTCAGATTCATGAAAATGGAAGGTGATTCACTTGAAGATTGTTCTGATGATGAATCATCTGCTCCACAAGTTGACAAAAAGGAGATTCTTCTTTTATTCTTGCTTCAACATGCTGCCAATCAGTTAAATCCTGATATGGGATTCTTTGTATCATTATGTAAACATTTGACACATCTAGGATACTTTTCAAATAGAATGACAGACGAATCATTCATCAAAACTCTATGTAAAGATTTCATGGAAGATATTACAAACATTTTCCCAGTATCAGCACTTGAGGTAGAAGAAACTAATAGAGGCATAGTTAGATCAGAAAGTTATTCTTCCTATCTATCTGATATTCCTCATTCTCCAGGTGCAAATAGAGAGTTCTTTGGAGCTCTTGAAAGCTCACCAGTTATTGATTCCATGTTTTATAATGCAAAGAGATTAGAATCTGATTATCATCATTTTCAAAAACTTGGAAAGGAGAAACCATACTCTTCTGTAATTAAAGCCATCCATAAGATAGATGGAAGAGCCTATGCCATCAAGAAGGTTAAATTTCACTTTTCAAATACTTTTGAGCTGGAACATGTGTATTCATATGTTGTAAATGAGATCAAAAATCTTGCTAAATTAGATAACGAGAATATTATTAGATATAACTCTGCTTGGTTCGAACCTTATAGAGACAACTCTTTACCATCACCCAGTGAGAAGAATTTATCATGTTCTCATCCAGAATGTGGTTCTCCAATATGGAGTGATTCATATGTAAATAGTCTTAATATAGAAAATGACTTGAAAAATGAAAGTTTGGAATCCAAGGGTAAGAAGACGGATGTCGAGTTTGAGTTTACTCCAAAGAGAAAACCAGATATACCACCATCTCCTCCTCCTTCAATGTCCTACTTTGAATTTGCTCTCAAGAGAGGAAAAGAAACCTCAAAAAGAAAGAGTGAAAGTATTGATAGTACTACACGAGATATAACATCTAATGTAAAGTCAATGCTTCACGAAATGTTCAATGTGAATAATCACTTTGAAATGGTACTTTATATTGTTATGCAACTTTGTGAAGGAACAACTCTTGAGAATTGGCTATTGCAGTCAGAAAAGAAAAAGAATAGAAAGACCAACCTTATTGACATTTTGAAAATATTCAAAAGAATTGTCAAGGGAGTCTGTCACATTCACGAAAGAGGTCTTGTTCATAATAATTTGAAACCAAACAATATCTTTGTAGCTTCAAATCATAGAATCAAAATTGCTGACTTTGGTGTTGCCAAATACTTACAGGAATGCTTGCTTAACCACAAGAAATGTAAGAACAAAGAATCTTCACCAAATAGAAAGAGATCTCATACATTTAGCGAGCAAGGATCTCTTTATGCCAGTCCAGAACAAATCTTCAATCAAAAATTTGATCAAAAGGGAGATATTTATTCATTGGGAGTTATACTTTTTGAGTTGATATCTCCTCCATTTGTAACTACTACAGAGCGAGTTCATGTTCTTTCACAACTTAGAAAACGAGAAATATCAGAAGAAATGCTCAAATCTTTCCCAAGAGAAATTGAGATAATTAAGCAATGTTTAGACAAACCTAACAATAGGCCAACTGCTCCTGAACTCCTTCAGAAGGTAACAAGATTGATCAAAGCTTACAAGATTGAAGGTAGATTCTCCTCCTCGGGAGTATTTAAACACACAAATTCTAGCAGTAATTTGCACTTTCCTTCTTTTGATACCATACGAGAAAAGAACAAAATTATTGAAGAGCAACAACGACAAATTGAGTTACTGAAAGAACAATTAAGAAAACAACAACAATAATAATACAGGTCATTATTTTAATGGTAAACAAGTTTAATCTTTCTTTTCTTTTCTTTCAATAAATTCACAACACAAAATGAACTTTAAAATTCTGAGAACGAATACTAAAATTACAATAGCAATCCACAAACCAAGTGATGCCAAATATCCAACAATATACTTGGTTGGATAGTATTCACAATCTTTGTAACTGTAATTGAATCCATCAGCAGACTTTTCAATTTCAAACAAACCAACATTACCACCAAAATCACCTTGAATTGATTTAACTGTAAATTCTTGAGCTCCTTCCTTGTGTGTATATTTACAACCAAAGTGATCATGACCATTGAAAATATATTTTGGTTTGAGTTGAGTAAGGATAACTTGTGATGTCTTTGGAGTTAAAAAGTTTTGCTCAATTG